AAATATTTAAGTGTATTATTTTTTACTATATATTTTTAACTGAGGTATATTTTTAATTTTTTACTATATGTCTTTAATTGAGGTTTAACTGAGGTATATATTTTTAATTGATTTATAATATAGTAGTTTCAAATATACAACATATTGATTTGACATTTTTATAGATTTTACTCCATTTAAATTATTATATAATATTGGCTATATTCCCTGAGCTGTGCATTACATTCTTGTATCTTATCTATTTTATACCTGGTAGTTTGTACCTCTTAATCCCCTTCCCCTATCTGCCCTCTTCCCCCAACTTTCTTCCCACTTATAACCGCTAGTTTATTCTCTGCATCTGTGTCTGTTTCTCTTTTGTTATATTTGTTTTGTTTTTTAGATTCTACATAAAAGGGAAAATATACAGTATTTTTATTTCTGTAACTTATTTCACTAAGCAGAATACCATGTTGTTGCAAATGGAAAAATTTCATTCTTTTTTATGGCTGAAAATATTCCATACACATGTATGTATGTGTATATATACTTATATACATACATCTCTATATGTTTATATATATGCACCTTCTTTATTCATTCATTTGTTGATGGACACTTAGGTTGCTTCCATATCTTGGTTATTGTAAATAATGATGCTGTGAATACTGGGGAAGGCGTATAACATTAGTGTTTTCATTTTATTTGGATACATACCCAGGAGTAAAATTGCTGGATCATATGGTGATTCTATTTCTGTTTTTGAGGACCCTCCATAATGCTTTCCATAGTAGCTGTACCAATTTACATTTTCACCAGCAGTGTATTGTTTTTCCCTTTTCTCCACATCATCGTCAAAATTTATTATTTGTTGTCTTTTTGATGATAGCCATTCTAACAGGTGTGAGGTTTTGTGGTTTTGATTTGCATTTTCCTCATGATTAGTGATGTTAGCATCTTTTCACGTGCCTGTTGGCCATCTGTATGTCTTCTTTGAAAACAATGCCTACTTAAGTCCTCTGCGCATTTTTAATCAGGTTGGTTTTTTTTTGATGTTGAGTTGTGTTTGTTTTTTGATGTTGAGCTGTTTATGTATTTTGGATATTAACACCTTATCAGTCATATCATTAGAAAATATTTTCTCCCATTCAGTAGGTTGTCTTTTCATTTTGTCAATGATTTACTTTGCTGTGCAAAAGCTTTTAAGTCTAATTAGGTCCCATTTGTTTATTTTTGCTTTTATTTCCTTTGCTTTGGGAGACAGATCCAGAAAAAATATTGCTATGATTTATATCAAAGAGGGTTCTGCCTATGTTTTCTTCTAGCAGTTTTATGGTTTCTGGTCTTATTTTTAGGTCTTTAACCCAGTTTAAGTTTATTTTTGTATATGGTGTGAGAAAATATTCTAATTTTATTCTTTTACTGAGCAGGAGTGAAAGTTCCAGCTCTCCACTTTGCCTTCATTGACACCAACCAGAAGGGGAAAGGGTACATTGTTAGTTAAGTGAAGGTGAATGTGTAGGCTCCTCAGTCTTTGCTGAATAGTGGGAGTGGGGACCCAGTTTCCTCTGTGGTGCTGGGTTGCAGTAGGGGGGTTATTGTCTAAAAGTTTTTGTTTTGTGAGACTCCCCTTTCTTGGCCTTTTGACCACAAAGAGCAGGTTTCCTTTGGGAATTAATTTTAAATTCTGTAATTTTTCTTATAGTTGCCTTACTGTAATCTGAAAGTATTGTGATGATAATGCCAACATCTATTGTTGTTTTTTAGCACAGCTACAGTATCACTGCATAATAAATAAATATAATTCAATAATAAAATAATCCACACTCCAATATACCTTAAAATATTTTATTCAAAGTCTACTTTTTTTCCCCCTTTACTTGTTTTGACATGATTGGCATTCCCTGGTAATAAAACAAAGATATAAAATGAAGTGTTGCCATGCTGTGATAGTCCAGCCACTCACAATGATATTGAATTACAACTGTGCCACTGTGCTACAAACAATCTTGATGCAACTACTCATCTCTGTTACTGTAGTGAAAAAACAGCCATAGACCACATGTACATGAATAATCATAGCTGAATTCAAAGGACAGCAAAGTTTGAATTTATTTTTGTGTCACAAATACTATTCTTTTCATTTTTTCAATGATCCAAAAATGTGAAATCCATTCAAAATCACAAGCCTTCCAAAAATATATGTCAGACTTGATTTGGCCTGTGGGCCATGGTCAGCCAACCTGCCTTACAACATGTTTAGTTTCATAGGACATAGCAAAGTGGTGAGGGCATCTCTGGAATTTGGAAGCAATTCCCTCATTTACTGTTGTGAGGTGTCCACACCCAACAATCCTTCACAACACACAGGAGAAGCATCTCCCTAACCCTTGGCCTGTCCTGAGATATTCAGCCCCACATTGTCTTCTGAGTGGCTGCTACAATCCACCCCTGTGATACTTAGAAGTAATGAGATCCCTCAAGTCTATTTATGAAGACTGAAACCTAGTCATAGACCTGCAGGTTACTCAAAGTATGGAATAAAACTTCTGTTGTAGAAACAGCAATAGGATTGATATGGACGTTAATAAGAAAACTCCCTGGCATGCATTTTTCAGGATCTCACCTCAAAACAGATGATGTAGACACCTTCCTTGGACATTGCCTTCTCTACCTCTTAGGGGTGTTCTTTATTACTTATGTATTCTGGAAGGAATACCATGAAAATGGTAAGTTACTAAATATTTAAATAATGAAATCATGATATCTTAAGGGAACTGTCTACCACTCACACATTTTGACATGGTTCTTGAATAGTGATGGTAACAAAGATGAGCAGGATCTGACCTTCATATTATAAAAGCAGAATTGGAGGCAAGAGATGTGACAGTCTCACTCTATTGTTTACTTTTCACTTTTGATAGGAACTCATTTATTTAGTTCTAGACAACATGGATTAGGAAAATTTTGACAAACTGCAATTCATCAAGTGTATCATTCCCACAAATTGCAAAGTTTCTGAAAACACTT